AAAGAGACAAATGCAGTCATGATATTAGAATTGATCCTGGGGTCTGGCCACAACCGTAGGGACCTAGTTTCTGCGTCACAGCTTGGAAACAGTTGAGATCCCCACCCCATAACCATACATAAAATTGCTGGGCATGAAAAATTGAATACAGATATATATGCTACAAGGATTGGCCTTGGGGTCTGGCATATTCCCTTGGATCTCATTTGGAGAATATTCTGCCATGATTGCTTAGATATCAAGGTGAGCGATACAGGCCCTATGGGCCTCTTGTTTTAATAAGGAGAGAGAAGTGAAAATAAATATCAAAACTTTGATCAGGAACTAAGAGCTTGTCTCCTGGATCCTATGGAAAATCCTATGCAGAAAATTATGGTTTTCAGGAAAATTTCAAAACTGTGAATGAGGAATTTAAAAAGGAAGGATTTGATAAAAAGAGAAATCCACTTTTGTTTTACAAATTTGTCAAAATCCAGACTGGTGTGATGTAACACCATTGAAAATCTCATGATGAATTACAAATAATGTAGGATTTATATTATTTAACAAAGCATCAATCTTTAAAAAGTAAATAATGTTCTCTCACCATTTACAGAATTATCCTAGGGTGTGATAGACAGCATGAAATAATAAGTTCACTCTGACGGAAGAGATGTTCAAATCAAGAAAACAGCTGATTACCAATGCTAATAACCATTGGTTTTAATCACCCCCTACTCAAGGGTATGCCAAGAGAAGTCCCGACTCTTTCGGTTTCATGCAAACATCCGGTTAAAAAGAATCCAGAATATGTACCATGTATGTTATAATAACCCCTCAGGTTTAGATTCCTCCATTATACACTCCAGGTAGGGCAATGTTCTATTAATCATTGTAGACAGGATTTTACACTAAAATCTGTAGTTTATATTATCAATAATTTGTAGATCTTAGGATTTTACACTAAAATCTGTAGTTTATACTATCAATAATTTGTAGACTTAAGATTTTACACTAAAATCTGTAGTTTATACTATCAATAATTTGTAGACTTAAGATTTTACACTAAAATCTGTAGTTTATACTATCAATAATTTGTAGACTTAAGATTTTACACTAAAATCTGTAGTTTATACTATCAATAATTTGTAGACTTAAGATTTTACACTAAAATCTGTAGTTTATACTATCAATAATTTGTAGACTTAAGATTTTACACTAAAATCTGTAGTTTATACTATCAATAATTTGTAGACTTAAGATTTTACACTAAAATCTGTAGTTTATACTATCAATAATTTGTAGACTTAAGATTTTACACTAAAATCTGTAGTTTATACTATCAATAATTTGTAGACTTAAGATTTTACACTAAAATCTGTAGTTTATACTATCAATAATTTGTAGACTTAAGATTTTACACTAAAATCTGTAGTTTATACTATCAATAATTTGTAGACTTAAGATTTTACACTAAAATCTGTAGTTTATACTATCAATAATTTGTAGACTTAAGATTTTACACTAAAATCTGTAGTTTATACTATCAATAATTTGTAGACTTAAGATTTTACACTAAAATCTGTAGTTTATACTATCAATAATTTGTAGACTTAAGATTTTACACTAAAATCTGTAGTTTATACTATCAATAATTTGTAGACTTAAGATTTTACACTAAAATCTGTAGTTTATACTATCAATAATTTGTAGACTTAAGATTTTACACTAAAATCTGTAGTTTATACTATCAATAATTTGTAGACTTAAGATTTTACACTAAAATCTGTAGTTTATACTATCAATAATTTGTAGACTTAAGATTTTACACTAAAATCTGTAGTTTATACTATCAATAATTTGTAGACTTAAGATTTTACACTAAAATCTGTAGTTTATACTATCAATAATTTGTAGACTTAAGATTTTACACTAAAATCTGTAGTTTATACTATCAATAATTTGTAGACTTAAGATTTTACACTAAAATCTGTAGTTTATACTATCAATAATTTGTAGACTTAAGATTTTACACTAAAATCTGTAGTTTATACTATCAATAATTTGTAGACTTAAGATTTTACACTAAGATCTGTAGTTTATACTATCAATAATTTGTAGACTTAAGATTTTACACTAAATTCTGTAGTTTATATTATCAATAATTTGTAGATCTTAGGATTTTACACTAAATTCTGTAGTTTATACTATCAATAATTTGTAGATCTTATACACTATTTCTTTCTTTACTCTCTTTCAAAACTATTGAAAGCAACAATGGGATCGCCAAGCATTTTGATATAGTTACCACACACCTTAGGCTTAATTACAAACCAAAACAGAGAAGGACTGCAACATCATGGGCCTCCGATACAACTCCTTAATCCTTCAACAGTGAGGATTTACCAAGATACTCCAAACCAAAGAGGAATACAACACAAAGGGCCATAACTCCTGGTTTACTTCAACAAATTTTGTTGACAAAGCTCAGCAACAGCAGATTGTTTTTGGCGAATCTATTTGGTGACAAAATAGCGAAATTAATTGGTCAGGAGTTGACTTTGAAATGAAATAGAGTGACAATTTAACAAAACAACCAAGATAGGTAACTTCTATACAATCCAACGTTTATTTGACGAAAAAACACATTGGCGATATGGCCCAAGCATTTGACCTAAAATATAAAGTCTTGTATCATAGAAGACGCCTTTTATACCACCATAAGGAAGGGGCACAGACAAAGCGAAAGAAAGAGATCTAGAAGGACAGCATGAATGGCTTCAGATACGTCTCTAAACTACATAAACCGCAATCTGATCCATTAACGGGAATAATCGGTGATGTGAAATGTATGCAAAATATTATATTTATCCAAAAGAAGAGAGAACCGGAAGAATATTAATTTCCGGTACCACTTGTGGATGCTATCAGCATTAGTATTTCACTCTTTTAATGTGTTAATAATTTGTGCCCAAGAACACGTAACCCGCCCTTAGAACCAGGCCTAAATTCTGAGGTACTTCAACGCATGTGTTGTAAAAAGAAATGTTGACATTCCAACACAAAATAGAAACAACATTAAAATCAGAAGCCTAATTATTGCATAACTATGGTGGCATATTTCTGCCATCCACTTGCGACTTACGAGTTACGTATGTCGACATAATTATTGAAAGATGTCGACATAATCTGAGAATATGTCGACATAATCTGAGAAGATGTCGACATAACTTTTAAATTATGTCGACATATCATCACATTTGCCGAGATAATTTTGCCGAGATAATTATCTCGTAAGTGGGTAACTCGGCTTTTTATCGTGTTAATGCTCGGGTGTGACATCGACTTACGACTTGCCACTTACGACTTATTTATGTAAAATCCCTCTTTGATTGATAAACTCTGTACATCATAGTAACCTACTGTAATATCCATATCTTTGATTTCCCATATTTACATTGATTTTACCAAGTTACTCACCAGTATAGTCACCACTGTTCAGTCACCATCAGCCCACCTTCGCGGTCCTCGTGCACAAGCCTCGTTTTGGTAAGTCGGCAATAATCTACTAGGATGTCGACATAAATAAGTCGTAAGTGGCAAGTCGTAAGTGGCAAGTCGATGTCACACCCGAGCATTAACACGATAAAAAGCCGAGTTACCCACTTACGAGATAATTATCTCGGCAAAATTATCTCGGCAAATGTGATAATATGTCGACATAATTTAACAGTTATGTCGACATCTTCTCAGATTATGTCGACATATTCTCAGATTATGTCGACATCTTTCAATAATTATGTCGACATACGTAACTCGTAAGTCGCAAGTGGATGGCAGAAATATGCCACCATACATAACGATAGTACATGTGTAGTCATTATTTTACGCACGGATAAGTCAGACCATAACTTTTCTGTCGAAGAATTGACGTTTACGATATCTGGCTGGCTCGGACAACTTTCGTGACAATAGTTTAGTCTCTGACAATGCTTGATTCATACCTAATTAAAA